TTTTCCCTCCCACCCTAACGCGGTGCGTTGTGTGCGCAGCCAGCGCGGTGAAGCTGAACAAGCAGCAGACCGACATCGCAGTGAACTGGGCTGGAGGGCTCCACCACGCCAAGAAATCCGAGGCCTCGGGGTTCTGCTACGTCAACGACATCGTGCTGGCCATCCTGGAGCTGCTCAAGTACGGCCGCGCTCGGCCTGCTCTGCCTCACTGCTCATCCCCAGCGTTTTGCATTTAGTCTGGGGTTTTTCTGGGTTTTTGGGCTCTGATCCCTTCTCTAGCAAAGGGGTTTTGGGGGGAAAAAATCCTAAAATTTTTGGTAATATTGTCTGTGATCTGTGATCTATAATCTACAATATATAATATATATATTATATATATATTGTTTATATAATATAGATATATATAGATATAGATATCTAGATATATATAGATATACTATATCTATATATATAGATAGGTATATAATCTATAATCTACAATCTACAATATATAATCTATAATCTATAATCTACAATCTACAATATATAATCTATAATATATAATATATAATATGTAATATATAGTATATAGTATATTGTATGTATAATACATTATATATAATATATACTATACACTATGTAATATGCAAAATATGATATGATATAATATAATATACTATGCAATGACATTATAGAGTATTATCTATAATATATAATAATATATTATATATATGTTATAATGTTATATAATTTAATATAATATAATAAATATATATCATATATACTACAATATAACATATAATATAATATAATATAATGTAATATAATATAATATAATATAATATAACATAACATAATATAATATGCCATGACATTATAGAATATTATCTATAATATATAATAATATATTATATATATGTTATAATGTTATATAATGTAATATAATATATTATAATAAATATATATCATATATACTACAATATAACATAATGTCCTGTATTACATAGCATAACATTTAGAAGAATATATAATAATATATAGAATACATTATAACATATAACATAACCTATAACATATAACATATTATATATATTCTATATTCTATATAATATATAATATATAATATATAATATATTATATATTATATATTATATATTATATATTATATATTATATATTATATATTATATATTATAGTTGTAATACTGATTATTATATAATGTAATTATCTACATTGCTAGAAATAATTCAAATATATTTACTATTATTTTAAATATTTTATTTATAATAGTACGATAGATATTATATAAATTACTTTCTATTTATTACAAACTAATTAAATTTAAATTTTGGGGATTCTAAATCAATCCCAGCTCCTCAGTGCTCCCCCTGAAATAAGAGAGGGAATTTGAAATGCCACCAGTGCAGGGGCCTGAGGATTTTTGCAGCTTTTTGGATGTCACATTTTTCTGCTGCTGTTCTTTGTCCCACCCATGGCTGCAGGCAAACCTCACTGTGGCCGAAAAATCTGCATAAAATCTGCATAAAATCTGCATAAAATCTGCATAAAAATGCTCTTTATTGGCTGAATCTGAAACAAACCCAACAGCAAAAATCACTTTATTTTCTGTCCCTTCCCCTGTAGATCCTGCCCTGAATTCCCTGCTCTGGGGTCACTTTTTCCTCCCAATAAATCCAAAATTCTGATTTTTTTTTTTCCAGGTACCACCAGCGGGTTCTGTACATTGACATCGACATCCACCACGGGGATGGGGTGGAGGAGGCTTTTTACACCACAGACAGGGTCATGACCGTGTCCTTCCACAAATATGGAGAATATTTCCCAGGAACTGGGGACCTCAGGGTGAGAGCCA